TTGTGGAATCTTTTTTTTTTGTATAATCGAAAAAAGGAAATATATAGGAGGAAGGGATTTTAGGATTTGTTCGACCCTACACCCGGTGAAAAACACCGGGTGGGTCTTCTGCTGCCACGCGTCTCTTATTCGTATTTTATAGGAATTACAAGTTGCGATACGATCCGAGGAGCGAGGTCGATGATCGGAAGCTCCAGTGTTTTCGCCATTTTTTGTGGAATTTTTTTTTTTTATAATCGAAAAAAGGAAATATATAGGAGGAGGAAGGGATTTTAGCTCTAAAATACCTATTTCATCGTTACGCTTATGTTTCAGTTACACATAGCTCTCTATCCGCCGTGAAATGTCTGAACTGTCCTTCACTTTAGATCAGAATTACAGTTACACCGCCTTTCCACTTAAAAGCACACTGCTAGACAAAAAAACGTGTTTAACCAAATTGTTTTCAATACACATACATGTATTTATTTATGGGGAAACTACAGTTTGCACCCCTGAATTATGGGGTCTGTCGCAAACACCCCTCTGAACTACAAAACATAACAAAATGGCCCCTCCGCTTCGAATCTGTTAGTGGATGATGACGTGGCGCATTGACTTTACTGTTATTAGCCGTTTTTAATACCCGTTGGAACATTTTTTGACCCTTTTGCCTCTCATACTAGTATATATATGTTTGTGTGGGTTATAGAGGTTTTCAACAACTTTTTTCTTCATCATTTTTTCTCTAAATTTCTTCATTTTCCATTTTTTCCCTTATTTTTTCCTTTTTATAACGCACGTTGATATCGTTTTTTTTTTAATATTGAAAAATATCGAGTAATAGCTCAAATTCACAAGATTATTGTCATTAATGTCACAAATCACGACACTATTTGTCTAATTTTTTTTTAGGCACAACATGCAGGTGCCATAAATATGATGTAACTCGAACAGCTTGGACTCCTCTCAATCCAGGAAGAAGATTTGCAAGCTGTCAAAACTGGGATGTAAGATAATATTTTTGATATTCATTGCAATCATCATTTACAAATAGTATTTGTAACTGTATAAATATACGTATTAGTTTCTTAACAGAAATCAAGTGGCTGCAAGTACTATCAGTGGCTGGAGCCTGAGATTTGTCCAAAGGGGCTGGAGATTCGGCAAGGCTTGTTGAAATTTTTGGATGAGAAGAATAAAAAGATAAAGTTAATGGAGGCTACTAATGAAAAACTGTAATTGTACAATGAGGAACTTCATGAAATTATTCTAAACATGACAAAAGCAAACAAACACTTGAAAGAAAAAGTCCAAACACTAGAATGTGCAGTTTCCAAGAAAAATAAGATAGGGAGATATGTGAAGATATTTGCAATGTTTAGTATCTTCATATTTCTACGTAAATTGATTGCAAATAACTCAGAATATCACAAGGGAAACTCATTGTATCTATAATAAGACTATTTCCAATGAAATTAACAAGATAATAAATGTCATTTCATACTTGAATAGAAAGGCTAAACAGCCATACCCATCTAAAAAATTGTTTACTTGAACTTGAGACCCATTATTTGCACCACTCTGCCACCATAACATTTAAATGAGTAATATTTTATTGAAATTGAAAGACAGATTATTTATGATGAAGAAATACCTGCATAGGAGGTCTGAAAAGACATAACCTTAGTTCTTTTTCTTGGCCTTTCTACATTCTTTGGTCTTTCAGCACTTCTTGATTTTTGTGAAAGAGGCTTCTTGCACCTTCTTTTGTTGTGAGTGATATCACCACAGTTTGAGCATGTTTGCACATTTCCTTGTCTTGTCACTTTGCCTCCAACACTGATTTCATCATATCCTTTCTTTCTCATTTTTCTTGGTCTGCCAATCTATTTCTTGAATGGAGGTGGCAAGATTGGCAGTGATTCAACTTGTGTTGATGGAATTGACCATTGTGAATGGTCTGCCAGAAGAGTCAAAGTATAACTGTAAGCCTTCTTTTAGTTGTCAATAGAGAAATAAGGGCTCACATAATCCTCTACATCTTTGTGCCCAGACATAAGTGCACAAGTGGTATGTGTACATGGTATTCCTGTCATGTCCCATTCCTTACAACTGTATGACTTTTTTCTAAAGTTCACAACCCAACCCTTATTTCCTAATGTCACTTCCCACAGCCCCTCATTTTCCATATGACATTCAAACTCAAGTGCCTTGTCTTGATACTGTTCAATTTATCTTGTATCCTAGGATAAATTTTGGGAGTGCATTTCTCTATCCACTGTCTTTTACTCTGAATTTTGCACATAAATTATCTCCTCAAAGCCTCCATCATTACAAGAATGGGCATTTCTCTAGCTTCCTTGATGTAGCTGTTAAAGGATTCACACAAGTTGTTGCTCAACTGATCACATTTTGGCATTGCTGAGATAACATGCTTGCACCACAAGTTGGTTGGGATTTTCTTTAACCAAACATAAGCCTCATTTGATAAGGCTTTGATCTCATCCATTTTCTTATTGAATTCTTCCTCCAAATAAGCCATTGCTGCACTCCACATCAGATCTTTCAATGCCTTATCCTTAAACTTCAGCTTGAAGTTTGCATACAAGTGCCTTAAACAAAATCTGTGATCTGTGTTTGGCATAATTGATTGAAAAGTCTCAACTAATCCTTTCTATCTATCAGAAATGAAGGTGCATGAAGTTAGATCAAAACCAGTTACAGAATGAATCAACATATTTATAAACCAAGTCCAGCTCTCTCTACACTCACTTTCAAATACTGCAATAGCTAAAGGGAACATCTGATTATTCCCATCTCTAGCTATAGCAGCCATCAACTGCCCACCATAAGGAGTCTTGAGGAAACAAGCATCCAATCCTATAATTAGTCTACAGCTCTCTACAAAACCTCTTTTCACTACATCAAAAAATACAAAAATCCTCTGAAATCTAGGATCTTTGTATATTGGAGGGCCCTGAACCTTAACTACTGCAGTAGAACCTGGATTGGTTTTTAGAATTTCATGGCAATACTGTCTCACTCTAGAGTATTGCTCATACACATTGCCATGAACTTTCTCAATGGCTTTTTGTTTGGCTCTGTATAGCTTTTGCCTATGTGCATACACCTTCACTTCTTTTCTCACCAGCTTTCTGAATGATTTAATAGACATAGAGGGGTCTTCAAGAAAATGTTCCAAGTACTGCTCTGCAAGGTAAGTGGAGTTGGCACTCTTGTTCCTAAATTCTCTAGGACACCTATGAGGTTCATCTTTAATTGTCTTCACCTAAAATACTGTGGACTTACCCTGTAAGCTAGATTCATTTGGGTATATGTCCTAGGGTTTTCTCTACCGTACGTACATTTGGGAAAGAAAGGGAAATGTCCATTTGAGAAGAAATATTTGGCCGTCGAGGGTTTTCTCTACCGTACGTACATCGATCACGAGTCTCGACTTCTCCAGTAATGGCGATGAATATACGGCCAGACGAAATAGCTCAGCTTCAAACCTATATGAAAGTTATTGAGAACGCCTGTGATTATATTCAGGTAATTCATTCGATCTATACACAACCACAAAAATCTTGCCGTATGGTATATTTTAGTCTTCAAAAAATTTCAAACCTTCTCCTGATTCTCGAGTGATTAGATATGGTAACCAAAACAAGCGAAATCTAATATTTAAACATTTCTGCTTGGGTGAAATAAGGTTGGGGATTTTATGGTTCTCTCATACTTTATTATGTTTATGTTGTTGGAATGGTGAAGTATGATGAGAAGACGAATATAAACATTGCAATTTGGGGTAATTAGTGTAACTTATGTGAAATTGGTTGCCGGAGGTTCATTTTTATAAGATGCTTTTGAGAATCCCTCTTGTCCAAACTTTATGAATCAAAATTTTGATTATAATGTGGATGTTGCAATTCGTAGTGCAGCTAGATTCTTCACATGTAGTGTTCTTTGTTATCAGATGGCTTGTATCTTAGGGTTGCATAAAAAAATAATTATTTGTTGATGTTCTGCGATTTGTTTAATTATCATACCGTCTTCTTTCAAGTTCAGAACTATATGTGTGATAATTTAATCATGAAAATTGTGATGATTTAATCATGAAAATGGTAGAGGGTTATAGCTGGTTAAAAATAGGATATGTTGTATCATATACTTATATGATCTGTTGTAGTTGAATTCGTGTATATCTAGACTACTGTCACTTCAGAACTAGTTTTACAGTATTTTTGCATACTTTAACTCATTATTTTAGGTGAAAATTGTCCC